GTGGAGCCGAGAAGTACGGTGTGCTGTCTTGTGTTTTCTCAACATATAATTTACATATCTTCTAATCTCTTTTTCACTCTTTCTCAATGCATTTCACTTTTTTCTTTTTTCTTCTTTTTCTCCAATAAAAAAAACAAAAAAAAACATAATAATGGTGTGGAGAGGATGGCTAAAGGGGGAGAAGGGAGGCCATCAAAAAAAGAAAGGTAGAAACAAGCTGAGGAGGACTGAAAGGTGGACACACAGGGAAAACACAGAACAACAAAAACACACATCCTCACAAGCGACTCCAGGATTAATCAACGGATTTATCACTGAGGGAACAGTCGATGACCCACCATATCTTCAAATTATATATCCAGCAAAATATGTTAAAGAAACAAAAAATCCCAGGTATGTTTCATTGAAAGTCTTTAAAAACAAGGCTAAATTGTTTTAAAAATTATTTTTGTAAGTTTTCTAGCTGTTGCTCTGAAAAAGCTGTTACATTCCATATATGGTCAATGTCAGGTTAGTATTGACTGAAGGCAGACGACAGATTTATAACATAGCATCAGCATCAACTGTCTTTCTCACAAAACAAAACTTTTTTTTCTAATTTAGCTCTGTGTTGACCAGCTCTGCAGTAGTAGACCTACACCCAAAGGTGGACCAAAGATTGATGTCTAAAACCAAAAGTTTTTCTAGTTGACATTTCTGAAAAACCTCTAATGGGAGTCCACCTAATCAGATGTCTGAACCACCTCAACTGATTCCTGTCAACGTGAAGGAGCAGTTTCTTAATTCAAGATGGCCACCATACTCAACTGAACTTAGAAAACATAAAAATGGCCACAATTCAATCAATGTCACAGATAGTTTTCTAAAAATTGATGAGTCTGTAGCTGAGAATTCTTTACAACACATTATGTTAAGTGCAACTCATGCACAAAATCATACATAATTTTATTGAGGTTTGACCAAAACAAGTCGTTTTTCAACATAACATGATCTTGGTCTAAAACGTGGGATATGCAGAAATGCTACACATTTTATTATCTTTATTAATCATCCTTTTTATTTATACAGCTCTCTTTTACCTTGTCCTTTATTCTACATTAGAGTCTTATATATGATGCACATCCTGAATAGAAAAAGCAGAACTGTGGAGTAGGAGGTACTGACCTATACCAGTTGGTAAGTGTCATCATGATGTAGAGTGAAGCTAAGAAGAGCATGAAGTGGAAGAAGGAGTAGCTGTATGGGACGGCATCTCGCTCGTTGTCTTCCACTTGTCTGGACCCCATCGACTCCTCGGACAGGTCATTGCTGCCCCCCCGCTCAGCGAGAATCGATGACTGTTTGGAGACCATGGTCAGCTTGTTCACCTGGTTCGTGTTGGATGAACGAATGCTGAGGAAAGTGTGAGTCAAAAATGTTCGGCGTCCATGAACACAGTTTGACAGGCGGCCCTTTCTAAATGTATTTTTACACGGGTCGGGTACACAGCTGTGGCTAGTCAAGGTGGTAGTAGCTGAGTCTTCACAAGCAAAAGGCTACATCTGTCATTTTTCAACACAAAGTGACTTTAAAAATTAATATTAAAGAAATTACTTATTTTTAGGGATGCACCAGTTTTTCTCAAAGTTTTTCTACGAGTACAAGTACTTCAGATTGGGTACTCGCCGATTCCGAGTACCGATACGAGTACTTACTGAATTATAACTTACTTAGTTATTATGACCCCCACAAGCGAAGCGTAAGTGTGAGTCATATTATTTTCATTCCGTTTTCTTTTTTTCCAGTGATTTTTGGTCAACCATAGCACAAAAACAGCTGCACCGGTCAACATGAAATTTGGCAGGACTGTAGATGAGTCTGACCTACACTGAGCCAGCCAACGGTTTTACGATACACCCCATATTTGAGGAGGGGGCTGCGTTCAAAGAGGGGGTGTCAGGACAAGCAAAAATGCTTATAACTCAGAAACTGTTCAACATAGAAGCTACAGATTTCTTTTGTTGTTTAGCTCTGGTGAAGCTCTATCCATCAGGCCCAACAATCATTGCCCCCCGGACCCCCAATTTATCTGAAAAAGTAGTATCTGGACATACAAAAATGGTTATTGCTCAAAAACTATTAAACATAGGAGCTTCAGATTTTCTTTGGTTGTTTAGCTCTGATGAGGGACTATCCATCAAGTCAACCAATGGCACCCCCCAAAAAAAATAAATAAATAAAAGACCCCCACCCAAGCCACTACGATTTTGGGATGCACCTAGTAGCATGACATTTATTAGGAATAAAGACTTCTGAGTTCTGGTGCATTTCTGCATGCGGGTGTCATTATGTTACCGCTATGCGGTGTCTAGTTTTAATATTAAGGTACTAGAGATGTTTGTAAAACCTAAAACTCGAACAAATTTGAAGAACAGATGTAGTACTTCAGTCAAAGGAATAAGATTGTGGAATAATCTGGATAGTGATTATAAAAATGCTGGCTCAATTAATTTGTTTAAAAGAATGATAAAAGTCAATTTGCTAAAGAAATGTGAAATTGTAAAATCTTTATTTATAAGAGCTGCTGTTTGAGGAGTTGAAGTTTTTGTTTTGTTTTATCAGATATCAGTATATATCAGATACAAGATTTTTTCTTCTTTCTGCTACATTTCATTTTATTTGATTTGTATTATTTTGTTGTATGTTAATTTGTTTTGGTTTCAATGAAATGAATAAAAAAATCTGGCACTAAATTAGAAACATATCTAATGTTTGTCAAAATGAACCTCAGTTTAAACCAGTTGTTTATCCTGGTCCTCAAGGACATTGTCCTGCATGATTTAAAGGGACAACATCATGTAAAATAAACTTTTTTGAGTTTTATATCATGTTATAATTTTATACTCTCATAAAAAAAAACATGTCCAAAGCCTTGCTCTGACTCATTCATGCATGTTTGAGAAATCCTGCAGTGTTTTTAGGAAGCCATGC